AGACGGCGGGACCGGAGCGAAGGCACTTGAGGGGTAGAATGAAGATTCGAAAGTGATTGAATTGTTGGAGCTTACACCCTACTGTTATAGACACGCGACCCTGCGTCCTATCACCTAGTGCATCTAATCAACCATCACTCACCGGTGTTCATCCAATCATCCTACTCGTCTAATCATCGGTGGCGTAAACAACTTACCGTAATCACCATAATCAACGTGGGTTCGGATTGGACCGGTTCGGGTTAACCGGTTAATGGGTACAACTGGTACACAGTACCCAAGACCAGCAACCCTCAATACGCCCCCTCAATGCGAAGTCCCACGAATGCCGAGAGCCACCGTCAGATCCGTGTGGCGTGGTCCCGCAAGCGCCTTCGTCATGATGTCCGCTAGCATCACAGAAGTCTCGCAGTACTGGAGCTTGACTTCGCCGCGCTTGACTTCATCGCGGATGTGGTGGTACTTGATGTCGATGTGCTTGGCGCGACCGTGGTTCACTGGGTTCTTCGTCATCTTGATGCACGACTGGTTGTCTTCGCGGATCATGAGTTCGGGTCCAGTCTCATTAGCGGCCGCCAGAATCTCGCATAGCAGGCGATGAATCCACTTGCCTTCTTGGATAGCCAGACTGAGCGCGATGTACTCCGCTTCGCTCGTGGACAGCGACACGCTTGATTGCTTCTTGCTTCCCCAGCTCACAGGCGCACTCATGAGCATGAACGTGTAGCCTGAAGTGGACTTGCGGTCGGCGAGGTCGCCGGCCCAGTCCGCGTCCGAGTAGCCACGAAAGTCGATCTTGTCGCCCGGCTTGAAGCAGATCCCATGCGTCTTGGTGCCTTGCAGGTAGCGAAAGATACGCTTGACCGCAACCCAGTGTTCCTCTTGGGGGTTCTCCATGAAGCGCGATACATAGCCAACGGCGTACGCGATGTCTGGGCGCGTGGCGGTCATCAGGTGCATCAGAGCACCAACAGCTTCGCGAAACGGAGCGTTCACCTTGGTCGCCGCGTCGCTTGGAACCAGTCGAGTGCTCATGTCCACCGGACTCACCACGGCCTTGCACTCGTCCATGGCGAAGCGCTTCAGGATGTCGTCCACGTATCGCCGCTGGCACATGGTCACGCTGCCGTCCGGGCCGTCCACCAACTCGATCCCAAGAACAAACGCGCACTTGCCGCTGTCGGTCATCTCGAAGCGCGTCTTCAGGTCGGTCTTCGTGCGTGCGATCAGCTCGGGCGAACTCCCGGTAATCAGTACGTCATCCACGTACACCAGTACAAGCACGCAGTGACCGTCCACCACCTTGATGTAGAGGCACGGATCGAAGGCCGACACTTGGAAGCCGATGGAGCACACGAACTCGTCGAAGGTCTCGTTCCACACTCGCGAAGCTTGCTTGAGACCGTAGATGGCCTTCACCAGTTCCAGGCAGTCGAAGTCACCATCCAGTTCGACGCCTTCCGGAACCACGCAGAAGACCACCTCCTTCATTATCCCGTACAGGAATGCTGTCACCACGTCGAGTTGGTCGAGGGGCCAGCCAAAATACTTAGCAATCGCGATCACCATGCGCAGCGTCACATACTTGACCACGGGCGAGAACGTCTCGGTGTAGTCAATGCCGTACTTCTGCTTGAAGCCCTTGGCCACGAGGCGCGCCTTGTACTTCTCGATCGAGCCGTCCGCTTTGCGCTTGATCTTGAACACCCACTTGGTATCGATGGCGCGTTGTCCGTTAGGCAACTTGGCAGCTCGAAACACACCACGCAGTCGCATCGACTTGAGCTCCGCGCGGATCGCTTTGCGCCAGTGCACTTGATCAGTACCGTTCACAGCTTCTTGGAACGTCGTCGGCTCCGATAGATCGGTTGCTGCTTCCACAGCGTTGGCACTGGCACGCCAAAACACTGGAGGCGTCGAGTCGTCGTCTTCATCTTGGTCCCCAGACTTTTCTTCTTCGTCGGGGTCGGCTCGGCGCGAGGAGGATACGTCCGGCGCACTTGCTTCTTCTAAGCCAGCTCGGTGGCGAACGGGGCGCGATCTTCTGGCAGTGTTGTCGTCGCCACTCGGTCGGTACTTGCGCTTCCCCGCCTGCTTGAAGCTCGCTTGGCGCGGTCCATCGTTGTCGTCCAGGTCCAGCGCGTCCAAGTCCAGCACAGCATCATCGACGTCTTCATCCGAAGTATGCGTCGAAAGTCCAAAGGTCGACTCATCGAAGTTGACATCGCGACTGATAACCACCTGCCCCGCCTCGATGTCATAAACTCGATACGCCTTGGACACTTCTTCGTAGCCGAGGAACAGCCCGGCGCGAGCCTTGGGGTCCCACTTGCGCCGTCTTTCCTTCGGCGTCAGGATGTACGTCTGGCATCCGAACACACGCATGTGCTTCACACTCGGCTTGGACTTGTAAACGATCTCGAACGGAGTCTTGTGTTCGATCTTGGGTGATGGCAGACGATTCTTCACGTAGATGGCTGTCATGGCCGCCTCAGCCCAGAAGCTCTTGTCCAGCTTGGCATGATGCAGCATGCTGCGGCCAATCGTGACGATGGTCCGGATGGCGCGTTCTGCCGTGCCGTTGGTCTGGTGCGCGTACGGAACCGTGGTTTGCTGCTCGATGCCTTCGACTTCGTAGAAGGCCTTGAGCGAGTTGGTCGCGAACTCACGGGCTCCGTCGTGCCGCACAAACTTGACCTTCTTGCCGAACTGCGTCTGCACCTTCGTGACGTACATCTTGATGCAGTCCTCGCTCTCCGACTTGGCACGCAGGCAGAACCCCTTCATGCATCCGCTGGCTTCGTCCACGATCAGCAGCAGATACTTGCTGCCACCCAGTGACTCTTCTTCCATGGGGTCGCACACGTCGAAGTGGAGCAGCTCGAACGTGTCGTAGTGACGCTTGTCACGGTTGCTTGGGAACGGCTTCTGGACCATTTTCCCTTGCTGGCAGCCGCGACACACGCTTGGTCCACTCGACTTGGAAGGTGCCTTCGCGTCCTTGATCATGTTGTTGTCGACCATCTTGCGAAGCACCTCCACCGGAGCGTGACCCATACGCGCGTGTAAGTCGACCGTCTTCCCACTGGTCGCCGCATTCGCCGATCGCTGAGGCGTCTGGAGTCAGTAGAGTCCATCCACGAGGTTTGCCGTCGCCACCACTTGCTTGGAGCCCTTGTGCGCAATCTGCATCTTGGTGCTGTCGAACACGACTTGGAACAGACCACTCTTGTTGATCTGTGGCACCGAAAGCAGATTCTTGCTGATGCTTGGGACGTACAGCGCGTTCTTGATCTCGATGTCGCACTCGTCGCCGTTGGGCAGAACCACTCGTTCCACGATGGTCCCCACACCCATGATGGCCGCCTTGTTGCCGTCGGCCACCGAAAGTTCGCCTTCATTCCGCTCAATCAAGGGGATCCT